ACAAAGTAACACAGGAACAGGAGTAGGCCATTCAGCCCTTTCAGCCTGTTCTGCCATTCAATGAGATCATGGCTGATCTGCAGACTAAATCCACATAGCTGCCTTGGGCCCACACCCCTTACTATCTTTGATTAACAAATTGTTAATTTTAAATCTGAGATAGGGCAGAGGATCAGTTGAATCTTTGTGTGTAGAAGTTCTTCCTAACATCTCTCCTGAATGCTCTAACCCTCATTCTCAGGCTCAGCCCTTAGCTGTAGAATCCCCAACCAGTGGGAAAAGTGTATTTTTATCTATCCTGTTCTTTACTGTTAATGTCTCAAAGACTTCGATCAGATCACCCCTTAAAACTTCTAACTTCTAGAGAAAACGGAAAAAGGTCTAATCTCTCCTCATAACTTATTCCCCTGAAGTCCAGGTATCTGTCTTGTAAGTCTATGTTGCACTCCCTCCAAGGCCAGTATGAATTGTGAGGATGATGTTGGGGGAAATCGGAGGGACATTGACAAGTTGGCCAAATAGGCAGATACCTGGCAGATGAATTTTATTGCAGAGAAATGTGACATAATGCATTTTGAAGAAACAGCAGAGATTTAATGGTGCAACTTTGAGGGGAATACAAGAGGGAGGGACCTTGGGTTCATGTGTATGATTCCCTGAATGTGGCCAGGCCAGCTGAAACAGTTATAGCATTCTTGCATTTATAATATGAGGCATAGAGCAGAAAAGCTAGGAGGTGATGCTACACCTCTACAAGTCAGTGGTCAGACCATATTTGGAGTAGTGTGTTCAGTTTGGGCACCTTATTTAAGAAAGGATGGTAAAGCCCTGGAGAGAGAAATTTACTAGTATGATACCAGGAATGAGGGATTTTAGATACAAGGAAAGATAGGGTAGCACAGTGGCTCAGTGGTTAACATTTCTGCCTCACAGCACCAGATTCCTGGGTTCAATCCCAGCCTTGGGTGACTAGCTGTGTGAAGTTTGCAATTTTCCCTATGTCTGCATGGGTTTCCTCCCACAGTCCAAAGATGTGTAGGTTAGGGTGGTTTGGCTGTGCTAAATTGCCCCATAGCATTCAGGGATGTGCAGGTTAGGTGGGCTAGCCATGGGAAATGCAGGGTTATAGGGAAGGGGGTGTAGGTCTGGGTGGGATGCTCTTTGGAGGGTCAGTGTGGACTTGATGGGCCAAATGGCCTAATTCCACATTATGGGGATTCTGTAAATGCCTTGCCTTTTATTCTGAGATTGTAAAACCCCTCCCCCAGCAAGTCAGGGGAGATCTCCTTTGACCCTTCATTGACACTGTCAGAACTTTCTAAGCTTCTGTGAGATCACCTCTCATTCTTCACAGGCCCAGTCTCTCCATCCCAATCTGGTGAACATTTACTGCTCTCCCTTCATCAGACTCATGGGGTCAGGTCATCTGCCATGGTGCAATTTGAAGCTGTGTTCCCTGAAACATTAGCCTGGGGTTTGGGACTACAATCCCAGTGATACTACTATCACTGGGTCCTCATTGTACTGTCTTCACAGTGGAGCTGACCAGGAGGACATGACGACGCTTACCTGTGTACTCGGTCAAGATTGGACGGCCGGCTGGGCTATCTCGCGGGGCCCCAGGGTGCTTCCTGCAGCCAAGGGTTTTTTGCGGAAGGCGGCGCAGACTCTGCTCAGCAGATACATCTCGGTAAGATGGGAATCCAGTCAGGCTATCGATGGATAAATACTTCTCCCAGTACAAGCCAAGATCGACACCATTCTCTGAGCTGTCTGAAACACCAAAGGAATTGTCTGTTTTTGCATTTCTTTCTGTGCCCAAGAGGAGACCGGAGACTGGTGCCTGATGCCCAGTCGATCTCCCTCCTCAGCCTTACATATCCATGGTATTTCACAGAGATATAGTCACAAATCATCCACTCCCTCCCCCACCAACACTCAGTAGCAGTAGTGTGTACCCTCTACAAGATGCCCTGCAGAAACTCACCAAGGCCCCTCAGGCAGCACCTTCCAAACCCACGGCCACTTCCATCTAGAAGGACAAAGGGGCAGCAGATACATGGGGACACCACCCCCTGCAAGTTCCCCTCCGAGCCCCTTCCCATCCTGACTTGGGACCCAGTGTCGCTGGGTCAGAATCCTGGAATTCCATCCCTCAGGGGTATTAAGGGTCAACCCTAGAGCACATGGTCTGCAGTAGTTCAAGAAAGCAGCTCACCCCCACCTTCTCAAGGGGCAACAAGGGACGGGGCAATAAATACTGGGCCCAAACAGCAACACCCACTTACAATAAGAAAAAAAAATCTGAACTAAGTGGAGTTTGGAGACAGGAGAAATTTATGACTAATGGGATGGTTAAAAATATAATTATTCAAAAGGAGCGGGAGATAGAGGTTTGACAAGAGAATTCCAGGATAATGAATACAGAGAGCTGAAGGAAAACCCACCAACGGTGGTTGAAGGAAGTGGGGAATCCACCTGAGGCCAAATTGAGGAAGATATGATATGATGAATTTGGGAAATGGTTGAGGGATGGAGGAGGTTGGAGATAGGGAGAGGAAACGCTATGGAGGAAAGAAAACTTTCTGTGCAGGAACCAGTGTGTGTTAAGCTAGTGACTGAGGGGGGGAGAGGGGGGTTGGGGCTGAGAGTTGAAATGGACCTGCTGCACTTGTAGAAGCTGGGATCAGAGGTTTGGATGAGCAGATATTTACTGAGGGTGGAATATGGGAGGTGGATCAACTCAATCCCAAAATAGAGCAGAGGGATGAGCTGGGGTGCGGGGGGTTGGGGGGATGCAGGGTGGTGCAGGTGCTTGTTTTGGAGGTGACCTGGAGATGTGGCCAGTGGCTCAGGAATTTTTGACCAGGAGTCATGCAGGACTGTCCAGTTCACCCCCAGGGACCAGGCAGTAAGAGAGATGGAGTTGGGATGAAGAGCTCAGAAACACCGTCTGTGGATGTGCTGAAGACATGGCCCTCAGTATTGATAAGGTGTACTTGTCAGAATCTACAGTTCATCCAGGGCCATTTCCCTGGATCATTGGAGGCTGAGGGGTGACCTTATGGAGGTTTATAAAATCATGGAGGGGCATGGACAGGGTGAGTAGTCAAGGTCTTTTTCTGAGTTCAAAACTAGAGGGTCATAGGTTTAAGGTGAGAGGGGAAAGATTTAAAAGGGACCTGAGAGGCAACTTTTTCACACAGAGGGTGGTGCCTGTATGGAACGAGCTGCCAGAGGAAGTGGTGGAGGCTGGTACAATTACAACATTTAAAAGGCATCTGGATGGGGACATGAATAGGAAGGGTATAGAGGGTTATGGGCCAGACATTGGCAAATGGGATGAGGTCAGACTGAGAAGTCTGGTCAGCATGGATGAGTTGGACCAAAGGGTCTGTTTCCATGCTGTATGACTCTATGAGTGTCAGCAAAGTGCTCAGCCCATTTACAGAGAGCAGGCAGGGACTGACGCACATTTTGACCAATAGTTGCCTTGTGGGACATCAAGGGGTGACTTTGGATACTGTGACATTGGGGTACAGCAAGTGGGGGGAGAGGGACAGGGAGGGGAATAGACTCTTGGAGGATTCCTGGGTTAACAATGTCAGAATGGGAGGATTCAGGAGATTACCTGGTATGGAAATTACAAACTAGACCCTTGGTCAACACGGAGAATTATCAACAACTCTAACCCAGAGGATATAATTTTCCATTCTTTGCTGTAAACTGAGGCTTGGCCATCACTTGGAGCAGTAGGCCATTCAGCCCTTCGAGCCTGCTCCACCATTCAATACGATCGTGGCTGATCATCCAACTCAGTCCCTTGTTCCCACTCTCTTCCCCCACGCCCCCCATATCCTTTGATCCCTTTAGCCCTAAGAACTATGTCTAACCCCTTCTTGAAAAAATTCAATATTTTGGTTTCAACTGCTTTCTGTGGCAGAGAATTCCAAAGATCCCACCACTCTCTGGGTGAAGACATTTCTCCTCATCTCAGTACTACCCCATCCTTAGACTATGATCCATAGTTCTGGACTCTTTGGTCATCAGGAACATCCTTCCTGCATTGAGTCTCTCTAGTCCCGTCAGTATTTTGTAGGTTTCTGAGAGACCCCTCATCATTCTTCAAAACTCCAGTGAATATTAATCTTAACCCATCCGGTCTCCCTTCATGCATCAGTCCTTCTATCCCAGGAATCAGTCTGGGAAAACTTCATTGCACTCCCTCCATCACCAGAACATCCTTCCTCTGATAAACAGACCCAAACTGCACACAATATTCAAGGTGTGGTCTCACCAAGATCCTTGGACACTTGCAGCAAGATATCCCTGCTCCTGGACTCCAATCCTCTCACTATGAAGGCCAACACACCATTAGCCTTCTTCACTGCCTGTTCCAGTTGCAATACTTACTTTCAATGATGGGTGCACAAGGAAGGACGGGTTACATTGAGAGCAGAGTGCACTGTCTCTTGATGTGCCATTGGCCTGTCCTCTCTTACTATGATGTGAAGGTGCTAATGTCGGACTGGGGTGGAAAAGATCAGAAGTCACACGACACCAGGTTATAGTCCAACAGGTTTATTTGAAATCACAAGCTTTCGGAGCGCTGCTCCTTCGTCAGGTGAAGTGAAGGGAAGCGCACAGGCATGGAATATATAGGCAAAGAGATCATGGCAAGATAATTCCAGGTAATTAAGAGTATCGTAGAATAGTACAAGTGGTGTGAGTGGAGTGTCAACAGGCCGAATAATAACTGTTTGCAGGTGACTGACAGTGTCAGTAAAATTCAACAACTGAATAGCAAGTGAACAGATGACCTATAATTTGATTAATTAAGGCAGAGAGATAATTACAAAAAATTAAAAATAAGGTGGCGCTAGAGACAAACCAAACAGCTGGAATAACATGATATGTATAAGAGTTGTATGACAAGGGTCTAGCCAAAGTAACAAGTAATGCAAAACGGTACAAACTAATTACGGTAGAGAGATCATAACAAGTAATCAAGGTCAGGATGTCATGTTGCAGCTTTATAAGACTTTGGTTAGGGTAGACTTAGAGTATTGTATTCAATTCTTGTCACCGCATTACAGGAAAAAAGTGGGGGCTTTGGAGAGGGTGCGGAAGAGGTTTACCAGGATGCTGCCTGGATTAGAGGGTATGAGTTATAAGGAGAGGCTAGAAAAACTCCGGTTGTTTTCTGTGGAACAGCAGAGGCTGAGGGAAGACTTGCTAGAAGTCTGTAAAATGATGTGATGCATAGATAGGGTTGATGGTCAGAATCTTTTTCTCAGAGCTGAAATATCCAAAACTAGGGGTCACACACTTAGAGTGTGAGGGGGCAAGTTCAAAGGGGATGTGAGGGGCAAGTTTTTTTTTAAACAGAGAGTGGTAGGAGAGTGGAACGCGCTGCCAGGGGTGGGGGTGGGGGCAGATACGATAGGGACATTTAAGGAACTTTTAGTTAAGCGCATGTATATGCAAGGAATGGAGGGATATGGACCGAGGGCAGGCAGAAGGAATTAGTTTCATTTGGTGTCACGTTCGGCACAACATTGTGGGCCAAAGGGCCCGTTCCTGTGCTGTACAGTTCTTTGTTCTATTTAATGGTGTCCAAACAGGATAGTGAGGAAGGTTGTACAAACACAGAACAGTATGGTGGGATCACATATAGCGTGACATGAATCCAAGGTTATTTCCTACATTAGAGATAACAAGGTGTAGAGCTGGATGAACACAGCAGGCCAAGCAGCATCAGAGGTGCAGGAAAGCTGACGTTTCGGGCCTAGACCCTTCTTCAGAAATGGGGGAGGGGAAGGGGGTTATTTCCTACATTCATCATTGCATCTCAATCACAAGATGGGGTTCAGGTGGGAGCAGATATTTAGGGAAATGTGCTTTCACTCTGTTAGCTGTTTCTGTTCATTGCAGGGGTGAGGATGGAGCAGGGAGGGTCTGGGCTGGATGTGACACGCCCCTCCCCCACTCTCCAAACCCCATTCCCCACTCCATGGGGCCTCCAGCTCTTTACCTGTGTAAATGGGTGCACTGTCAGCCAGCGTGGACTCCTGCTTCACCTGAGGGTAGTCCCGGTACATCAGCCCCACTCCCAGCTCACTCTGCCCCAGGGTATTAGTGTGACTCTGGGATTTTAGAGCATGCAGATCCTCTGAACTGACCGGTAGCAGCGGCTGGAGCGACTCTGCAGTGAAAACTGAATCATCATAGCTGGAGGGTGGGACGCACTGACAGGCATCAGCTGGATCTCCTGTGGAGAGAAACACGGAGACACAGGCATGTGTGTATGTGAGTACACTGTTCCATCAGAATAACCAGCTCCCCGGTCACCGCACGGAAACCCACCTTAATGAGGAGCTGGACCCACAGCCATGCTGGGCACAGGGAGATCCCAGAAGGTGGAGAATCGTGCTGGGAACAGGAAAGGGTCAGAGTCATGGTCCAGATTTAACATTGTGTTTCAGTCGTCCATCAGAGGGCACCATTGACAAGGGAATAGTGATGTACACCAGGCCATTCAGCCCTTTCTGTTTGAGAAAGCAAGCCTCCCAAGGTTTGATCTGGATTCCTGTGAATTTCTCAGCCCCTCAGCAGCTTACTGATGCTATCAGCTCAGTTCTGTCGAAGGATTCCCTTTCTCTCTCTCTCCTAAATCGTTTCATAGAATCCCTACAGCGTGGAAGCAGGCCATTCAACCCATCAAGTCCACAGTGACCCTGTGAATAGCATCCAACCCAGACCAACACCCTACCCTATCCTGTTACCCTGCAATTCCCAGAGCTAACCCACCCTAACCTGCATATCCTTGGACACTATGGGGCAATTTCTCATGGACAATCCACCCTAACCTGCACACCCCTGAACACTATGGGTAATTTAGCATGGCCAATCCACCTAGCCTGCACATCTTTGGACGTGGGAAGAAACCAGGGCACCCGGAGGAAACCCACGCAGACACGGGGAGAATGTGCAAACTCCACACAGACAGTCGCCCGAGGGTGGAATCGAACCCGGGTCCCTGGCGCTGTGAGGCAGCAGTGCTAACCACTGACTCACTGTGCTGCCCTCTCTCAGGATCTTTACCCAGTTGCTTAAAATCTTTGCTCAGCTTGGCTTTACAGAACTAAGACATTGACAGAAGGAGACATGAGGTTCCCTGCTGTCCATGCTCATCCCAATGTGCAGCAGGGAACAGGTTGAAAAGAGGAAATCCATATAAAGTATGACAAGAGGGACATGATTGGTTGGGCTGCTATTAACATAGAGATGCACCAATGTTCATTGTCAGTCTTAGTCCCTAGACCAGACAGATAGACTCTGCTATGACACTGACCCCATGACCCTCACTCTATGACTCTGATTGGACACAGTCCAGCAGCCTGGTCTGATAACAAAGATTGGCAATAAACTGTTGATGTTACATCTCCATGACGATGGCCCAACCAATGTATACACTCTTCTGGTGCAGCACAAATTGGTGCTCCTGTTTTCAATCGGTTTCTTTGGTCCTCATCCTGATAAACATACAACTCTACAGCACAGGAACAGGCCATTTGGCCCACCATGTTGTGCTAAACATGATGCCAAATGAAACTAATCCCTTCTGCCTGCCCTTTGTCCATATCCCTCCATTCCTTACATATTCATGTGCTTATCTAAAAACTCCTTAAACGCCCCTATATTATCTGCCTCTACCCCCACCCCTGGCATATGTTTCACACTCTTACCACTCTCTGTGTAAAAAAAAAACTTGGCCCTCACATCTCCTTTGAACTTTCCCCCTCTCACCTTAAATGCATGCCCCCTAGTTTTAGACATTTCAATTCTGGGAAAAAGATTCTGGCTATCAACCCTATCTATGCACCTCATAATTTTACAGATTTCTATCAGGTCTCTCCTCGGCCTCTGCCCTCTAGTGAAAACAACCTGAGTTTTTCTAGCCTCTCCTTATAGCTCATACCCTTTAATCCAGGAAGCATCCTGGTAAACCTCTTCTTCACCTTCTCCAAAGCCTCCACATCCTTCTAGTTTTGAACTCTCCTACCCTGGGGGAATAGACCTTGTCTATTTACCCTATCCATGCCCCTCATGATTTTATAAACCTCTATAAGGTCACCCCCCCCAGCCTCCGACACTCCAGAGAAAATAGCTCCAGCTTATTCAGACTCACCCAAAGCTCAAGCCCTCCAACACTGGCAACATCCTTGTAAATCTTTTCTGAACCCTTTCAAATTTAACAACATCCTTCCTATAGCAGGGAGACCAGAAGTTTTGCTGTGGGTCTGGAGTCACATGTAGGCCAGACCAGGTTAGGATGGCAGTTTCCTTCCCAAAAGGATATTAGTGAACCAGATGGGTTTTTCCAACAATCAATAATGGATTTGTGGCCTAACCAAAGTCTTAAAAAGATGCAACATGACATCCTGACTCTTGTACTCAATTCGCTGACCAATAAAGACAAGCTTGCCATACGCCTTCCTTACCACCCTATCTACTTGTGAGGCCACTTTCAGGGATCTATGGACTTGAACCCCAAGATCCCTCTGTACATCAGTGCTGTTCAAGGCCCTGCCATTAACTATATACCTTTCCTTAACATTTTATCTTCCAAAGTTCAGCACCTCACACTTACCCAGATGAAACTTTCTCTGCCATTTCTCAACCCATATCCGCAACTGATCTATATCCCACTGTTTAATTTTAGCAAGAATTAAAGTCTCCGAATCCACCTGAATGATGACCCACTCACTAAAGGGGGTGGTTTCACTCCATACATTCCATCATATAGAGTCATACAGAACGGAAACAGACCCTTCAGTCCAACAAGTCCTCACCAACCATCTTCTCAAACTGAACTAGTCCCACCTGCCTGCTCCTGGCCCATATCCCTCCAAATCTTTCCTATTCATGAACTTATCCAAATATCTTTTAAACGTTGAAGCTCATTCCACACACGAACCACCCTCTGCGTGAAAAAGTTGATCCTCATGCCCTTTTTAAATCTTTCTCCTTTCACCTTAAATGTGCCCCTAATTTTGAACTTCCCTGAATTTGAACTTCCATTCACCTTATCTATGCCCCTCATGATTTTAAAAACCTCAATAGGGTCACCCCTCAACCTCCATCGCTCCAGTGAAAGAGGTCCTAGCCTATTTTTAAATTTCAATCCCTCCATTCCTGGTAACATCCTGGTAAGTCTTTTCTGAACCCTCCCCAGCTTAATAATATCCTTCCTATAACTGGGCGACCAGAACTGGACACAATGCTCCAGAAGGGGTCTCACCAATGTCCTGTACAACCTTAACATGACGTCCCAACTCCTATACTCAATGGTCTGAGCAATGAAGGCAAGCATGATTACAAAGAGGTCTTGATCAATTGGGTCAATGGTCTGAGGAGTGGCAGATGGAGTTTAATTTGGATAATTGTGAGCTATCGCACTTTGGTAAAACAAACAAGGACAGACTTATACAATTAATTGTAAGGCCATGGGTGGTGTTGTAGAACAGAGAGACCTAAGGGTTCAGGTACATAATTATTTGAAATTTACATCACAGGTAGACAGGGTGGTCTGGTCAAGAAGGCATCCTTACCCCATTTTCTGAAAACCCTCTAATAGGTCACCTCCTGCCCCTCTCTGTTCCAAGGAGAAAGGTCTGAATTACTCTAGCATCCCCACTTAACCTCAACCCTCCAGGAACCCCTCCCCTCAACGTTTCCCAAGACCTTTGCAATTCTCCTGAACACAGGTGTCCAGGGTAACCCCCAAGTCCCTGAACTGAGGCCCACAGCAAATTTTCGAGTGAGCATTGGGACTTTAGACAGCAGCTAATCCCACCTGGTTCATGTCCTTTACAGAAGGAAATCTGCCATCCCCACCCGCACTGGCCTACACGTGACTCCAGACACACAGCTACGTGACTGACTCTTACCTGCCCTCTGGGCAACTAGAGACAGTCAAATAAATGCTGACCCAACTGAAGACAGCCACGTCCCAAGGACAGATGAACCAAACGCAGCTGATCCAACTGCTTGCTGGTTTTCAGGGATCTGTGCAGATGATATCATTCCGTCTCCTTGCTGATATCAGGGCAGGAGAAGCAGGAAGGCTAATGTCATTGGAATTGTGTTGGAGAATACCTGACAATTCCTGTTACTTCTTCCCCCAACTGAAACTATCTGCCCTGACCCCTCTCTGAAACTGCTGGTCTGGGAGACACAGTGCGATTAATTGCCCAGGGCAATGACGGCTGATTCCATTCAAACCCCTTCGCAGTCACTAAGAGATGGGTGGACATTTGAAGGGTAAATCATCAGGTCCCAGGAATGTGGCACATGTAGATGAGAGACCAGGTCTCCTGGTACCAATTACACTTCCCTTGGGAAGTCTCCCTTGTTCACCTCACTCCATTGTGTCTTCTGTTAATCAACCAGCTCTATCTTCCAGTCTATCATTGACCTAACCTGCTATCCTCCCCCAGATCCCACTGACCCGAGCCTCTGGTCTGGGCTAAGGAAATTTGGCATTCTTAACAATTTTTGTAGATGCACCACTGAAAACAGCCTATCGAAGCTGCATCACAGCATGGTACAGCAACTGCTCTACTCAAAAATGCATGAAATTCCAGAGAGTGGTGAACACAGCGCAGACCATCACACAAACCAACCTTTCATCTACACTTCCCACTGCCTCAGAAAGCCAGCTTACATCATCAAAGACCCCTCACACTCCCATCCGACACACAGAAGATACAAAAGCTTAAACACATGTACCAACAGATTCTAGAGCAGCTTCTTCCCTGCTGGTGTGAGAATGCTGAATGGACCTCTCACATTTTACATTTAATATTGATCTCACTCTTTATGCACCTTCCATGCAGCTATAACATTGTGTTCCTCGCTCTGTTCTGTCACCCCAGTGTACTGCACACAAAACAAAACTTTACACCATACTTAGATACATGTGACAATGATAAATCAAATCAAATCAAAAGGACTTGAGGAGAGCAAGCTTTGGACTGATTCTCCACAACTGTCATTAAGTACTTCCCACATCTTCTCTTTCAGGATTCCAGCTTCTGCCACTCTCTCCTGACTGGACATCTCCAGTGGAAATAAAATTCTCAAATGGCCACTCCCTGGTCAGCCAGGAAAGCAACCTGAGGGATGCAGCAGGACTGCCTTGCACACTGTCGCTGTCCTTAGGAGGCACTATACAGCTGAAATGGTCACCCATATAACAACCAGGCATCAGGATCTGCAGCAAAGGCCATCCAGCCACCAGGCAAGGCTCAGGCTGGCAACTGCATTGTTGTAATTTACACCAAACTGGCACCTTTTCTCAGACAGTCTGTAATGGAACTGCTCAATGTAGGTGTAATCGACAATGTCCCTATCCTGGGAATGTTTGATGGAGGTCAGTGTGGAGAGAGCTTTACTCTGTATCTAACCCTGTGTTGTTCCTGACCTGGGAATGTTTTTAGGGGGACAGTGTAAAGGGGGCTTTACTTTGTATCTAACCCGGTGCTGTTCCTGTCCTGGGAATGTTTGATGGGGAACAGTGTAGAGAGGGCTTTGCTCTGTAGCTAACCCCGTGCTGTCCCTGTCTGGGAGTGTTTGGTGGGGGACAGTGTAGAGGGAGCTTTACAATCAGGCTACAAAAGTGGAGGTAGCTTTTCTCTGGCAATACATTCCTTGTATTTGCTGCTGAACTTTACACAACATTTCTGCTCACAGGTCACAATCACCATCAAACCTCTCTCACATTACAGCAGTTGATCTTTTACAAGAAACACAACCAGATTTGATGATCCTTTCAGAGACTTACTGAGAGTGTAATCTGCCCAACAATGAGGTTTGCTGTAAAGGTTTGGGGATCCGCTGGACCTGAATATTCCCACAGGGTCCTGGTAATCTGTAAGGAGAGGAGTAGAGAATGAAAGGTTAACCACACTTGCCCACTTTCTGGGATTTACTTATACCAGGCAGGACTTTAGAGCCCATACAGCAAGAGTCTCAGGGGCTGTATGATGGGGACAGACAGAGTTACGTTACATTTCAATTAGAATGTAGGCAGGGATTGGAGATTCAAACTGGATTCTGTCACTGGAAGGAGATAATGTGAGAACAATAACTAAAGGGAGAGTAACAGCGTGAGAGTTATCTCGATCTCCACCTCTTCTGGCAGCGTGTTCCAGGCACGCACCACCCTTTGTGTGAAAAACGTGCCTCGCATATCCCTTTTAAACATCACTGCTCACACCTTGAAGCTGAGTCCCTTACTAATGGACCCCTCCACCCTGGGAAAAAGCCTCATACTTCCTACTCTATCCATGCCATTCTCAATCTTATAAACTTCTATCAGGTCAGCCCTCAACCTCAGGTGTTCCAATGAAAACAAACCCAGTCTATCGGACCTTTCTTCATAGCTAAAATCCCCATTAGCAGGCAACATCCTGGTAAACCTTTCTTGTAACATCTCCAAAGCATCCTCATCCTTCTAGTAGTGTGGTGACCACAACTGTACACAATATTCCATTTGTGGCCTAACTAAAGTCCTGTAAAGTGAAAGAGTGAGAGCGATCTCAATCTCTGAAGGGAGGGTTACAGAGTGAGAGCTATCTCTATCTCCAAAAGGAGAGTTACACAGTGAGAGCTATCTCTACCTCTATGGGGAGCGTTACAGAGTGAGCGCTATATCCGTCTCTAAAGGGAGACTTACAGAGTGAGAGCTCTCTCTATCTCTAAATAGAGTTACAGACTGAGAGCTATCTCTATCTCTAAAGGGGCGAGTTAGAGTGAGAGGCGTCTCTCTAAAGGGAGAGTGACTGTAAAGTGACTTGTTGACTGAGGGGCTGAGCTCGGAAAGCTTGAGATTTCAAAGAAACGGGTCGGTCTGTTACCTGGTGTCATGTGACTTCTGAGACTATCTGCTTTGGGAGCGAGATTCCTTCGCTGCTATCTGTGTGTCTACTTGTTCAGCCCGGCACTATTGATCGTGTTGTGTGGGTCTCGATATGGTTCAGGACAGAAACGGACATGTTCGATTTACTCGAGGGCTGTGGGAATTGTTGTGAGACATCTGCCAGGATGTCCCATGGGTGCCATACCCTGGGGCTTAATGACCTTCTCCTGCATCCCCCCCCCCCCCCCCCGGTGTTCGTCATTGCCAATCACCAATCTACCAAGCATTTGCCTCATCTGCCGATTCGGCCTGCATCGATATAGCGCCCCTCCATCGGGGCTGGAGACACCTGGTTCAAATCACACGCTGTAAGATCTGTTCCAAACAGTTTCCTTTCGGAAGTAAAACAACAGAAGGTACATTCCCCGGGAAGATCACGGTAAAGGAAACATATCGTCCCGGCAGCTCTTTCCAAAAGTCCGTGCAGGGAGGGAATTGATCTCCTTGGAGTACAAGGTGCAGGGCTGGATGAACACAGCAGGCCAAGCAGCATCAGAGGAGCAGGAAGGCTGACGTTTCGGGCCTAGACCCTTTTTCTGAAGAAGGGTCTAGGCCCTGAAACGTCAGCCTTCCTGCTGTGTTCATCCAGCTCTACACCTTGTTATCTCAGATTCTCCAGCATCTGCAATTCCTACTATCCCCAGTTTGTTTTTGCTGTAACACGGGTTGGGGGTTGTTGTTGGGGTTTTTTTTCTAGGGGGTGGGCGGTTGAGAAGGAACGGGTGAAATGCAGGATTCCTGCATCAATGCGGATTTGAGAATTTGAGTCCTGCCCCTCCCACCGCGCCCCATCCCTGGGAGATCGGGACATTCCCACTCCCTTTGGCCAGGCTCACCTCCGGCGGTTCCCGCTTCAAGGACACGGCTTTGAGTCCAGTTGCCATGGGGGAAGGGGACGGGAGGTTTTGGGGTCACACCAGAGGGACACGGTTGGGGGTGGGTGTGGGTGTGGGTGTAGGGGTAGGG